CCCCTACATGTTCCGCCCCCCCCCCGGCACACCTGCAACTCCTCCAGGGTGACCTCCCGCTCCCCCGCCAGGCCGCCGCCCTCATCCCCGAGGAGGTAGCAGCTGGGCTGCACCGCGCTGGAGCAGTACTTCATGTGAAGCGTGATGGGGCGCCGCGTCTTGGTGCCGCCGCCGACCTGCACGCGTGTACGCATGCGCATGAATGCATGCATGCTTGTATCTGGGTGTGTGCTTGAGTCTCAGCCCTACAGTCACACGCGGCCTCCGGCAGCCTCATCGCGCGGACCATGCACGCCTCCCAGAGCAGCAGGACCCAGTCCAAACAAAGGCTTTGCCCGGCTTTGACCGACATCTGCCAATACGCAAGGATGCCACAGACCCAGCGGCGGACTGGGCTGGGCCACCGCCCCAGCTGCTGCGCGCGGCGGCAGCATTTGACCGCATCCGCCGCCACTGCCAACCCAAGCCCCGCGGGTCACATGCAGCAGCGCGATGGCGGTGGAATGCCTGGTGTCAGCCTGCGCCTGCACCCACATGGTTGAACTGGAACCCCATGAGCGCCTCCACCAGCTGGGAATAATCATGGAGGGGTTTCGGTTGCAAAGATTGCAGTTTTAGAGTTTCAGTTGCATAAATCGCATGTGTGGGGTGAGGAGGGGGTAAGCATTGCAGTCCGCAGCCCCGCAATGAGCCGCAGAGGGGTCCCACGGCAGGCGCCGCCCGGCGAGGATCTCGGACGTCCGGCCGCCGGCTGGTTGCATACAGTCCGCCGCTTCCCGCCGCGCACGCTCACCGCCGATTTTCCGTCGGTCTGGTGGCCCACCACCAAGATCGCGGGGCTGTCAAAGGGCTTTTCGAAATCCTGTGATCGTAGTTGACAGGGTGCGCATCATCAGCACGGGCTGCAGGCTCGCGCGTCCTGCTCGCACGGTCGGGCGCCGGCAGCGGGGGCGGGCCTGCCGGGCGTGGCTTGGCAGCGAGCGCGGTGTGCGCGACAGCGGCGCGGCGGCCGGCGCAAGGCGCATGCTTGCGCTTGCATGGCACCTGCGCAAGGGAGTGCAGCTCGCTGTAGGCCTCGTAAAGGCGCTCGTTGTTGCTGCAGGGGCCGAGGGCAATCAAGGGAAGGGGGGGGGGGCGGCGGCAACCGACATTGTTGCGCGAGCAGCTGGGTTGCACGGGTTGTGCGTCCCCAGCGCCGATTTGCGGCGCGTGGATGCTTTTCAGTGGCTGCAAGGGGCCCTTCTACAGCACGGTCTGGTGTTTGTGCGCATGCAACGTTCTAGCGCATCACAGACCAACCGCTGCGCAACCGGGCAAGTGCGGCTGGTGTGCACCAACCGCAGCGCACAAAACCGGTCCCCCGCGCCCCACTGCGGACCTGCCATACGTCACGCTGGTATCCCTTAAGCGGTGAGTGTCACCGTCCATAGTTTCCAGCGGCATCGTGGAAGATGGCCTGCCCCTGTTTTGCTGGTTCCGCGGCCGCTGCACGCCGTCGGGTGTGTCACCGCGGTTGTCCATCTCCTCAACGGGACTGCTGCTGGTGGCGTAGCGAGATGATGCCTTCATACGGCCGCCCAGAATGGTGCGAGCTGTCCTCTTGATTTGACCGCGCGCTGTGGGACGTGAGGTGGATCGTCCTCGTGCAACAATATCCTGTGTCGACCTTTTGTACTAGATCGAACGCACTTGCGAGCCCATCAGCAGCCTGTCCTCAGCCGTGCCCCAGCTGCCCCTCAGCTGCTGTGTCTACTGCCTCTTGGCTCAAGGCCTGCGTTGAGTAGGGCACGACTCGGTCTGTGGTGGCCATGCGGCTGGGACGGGATTGAAGCTTGGTGGCTGGCCGTTGCGGCAGCTTGAAGCGCGGAAGCGCAGAGTTTGGAAGCAGAGGTGGCGGAGCTCAGGTGCGCGCGGCTGATCCCGGTCTACTCGCGCGCCGCAATTGCATCGCCCGCACCGGCGGTCCTGAAGTGGGGCTGGGGGTGGCAACTGTTGGGTTTGCGCGAGGGCTCTGTGCGAGGCGGCAAGCGGCACGTGTTGAGACCAGTGATCAACTTACATACTGTGTGTGGGCCAAGCAGAAAACGGTGGTGGAGCGAGTGGGGATCGCATAGTGCCAGGGTCTGGGTATGTACACCGATGCATGAGCAAATAGGCTACAAGTCTTTGGTACAAGAAAATCAATTGCGCAGCATTCAAGCCCAACAGTTGAATAAGATTAGCGGAGAACTGCTGTCAAACTGAGGTCAGTTGGGTTGACTGCGTGCGTGCGGCCGCAGGCACAGCAGAATCGGCAGCACGCGGCTGTCACCTCTGCACAGGACAGCCTGGCTAGATTTACGTTGAGTTCTGCAAGCGCAAGTTATGGATGGTTGTCTCCTGGAATGGACCCGATTCCGAGACAGCGGCCCCAGTTGAGAACCGGGAGATCTGAGCGGTGACAATCGAGATACGACAAGCCACGCCAAAATGTTCCGCGGACTATTATTCAGTGGCATGGCCTCTGCCTTGTGTGTGACGGCGGCGCTGCGAGGTGCGGCGACTGCAGGACTGGCCTTTCACGTGCAGCTGAGCAGCGGCGGCAGCTCACGAAGGACGCCACAGACCCTGCCGTACGTCGCCAAAGCACGCAGAGCTGCAGTAGATGTGGGCACGCTCCCCGAGCGCAGCCGCGAAACGACCCAAATATACCTGCCCAACTGCTGGACAACCCCCGCGCGCCCAGGGGCCGTGACGCCGCGAGCCGCCCTCATCGCCGCCGCCCTGGCCGCCGCCGTCGCATACCACTGGCGCCACGCAGTTGGCTCCCAGCGACCGCGCGCGGGGACACTCATTGTGCCTGGCGCGCTCCCGCTGATCGGCAATGTGCTGCAGGTGCGTGCTTCTTGCCCCTCCGCTTTGATCCTGGTCTCCCACCCATCATCATACACCACCAGATTTCTGCTGCCGGCGACATCAGAATGCGGGAGACGGGCGCCCCACGCACCAGCTGCCCCAAACACCAGCCCAGCAGCCAGTCTGGGGTCCAGCCTGCCTCAGATAGCCAAAACATGCGCTTGAGCCAGGCCACTGCGCCAGAGGCGCAACTTAGACGCCTTCGAGATCCAAGTGCGCATACAAAATCCACCCATTCGTCACCCGTGCCTCTTCAGAGAAGTACAGCAATGAAACTTGAGATTTCACACCTCCCCAGCCTGCCACGCTTCACGCGAATTGTTCGCACCATCCGCGCCAAGCACCCGCCGCAACCGCCCGATGACAGGTTTTTGCAAATATGCACCGGGTCCACGACTGGGCTGTGGAGCATCAGCGGGGCATCGGGCGCGGCGGCGCGACGCTCGCGTTCACCGTGCCGTTTCTGCGCACCTTTTATTGCATCACCGACCCGGCGGTGTTGGAGTGGGTGCTCAAGACGCGGATGACTAATTTCGTGAAGGGCGAGGTGGTCAGGTGGGGGGCGGACTGTGCACACACACGTTGCAGGCCTGGCGGGCGCGTTCTGTATCACATGATTGGGGCCACTGCAGGGCTTTGACAACGCTCTAATAGCTGTGCCTATCAGTTACAAGGCGGGTGGGGCAGGGTAAGTCGCTGCCTGCCCACAGTTCAGGCGACAGTGGTGACACGCTCTGCAGCATCTACGCCCCATGATATTTGATTGCATGCGATGACTGCACGGGTGACTGCACGGGTGACAGCTCGGGTGACTGGCCAGGTGACCGGGCACACCCCTGCACATAATTGTCGTTGCCGCAGGACCAACATGGGACCACTGCTGGGAAGGTGGGCGAGCGCGGCGACGGCGCACCACGCATGCGCCCAAAGCGCCGTGCCCCGCACATGCATGCAGGTGGTTTGGCGCACAGAGCGCCTCCCACCGGCAGCCTTGCTCGTCACGCTTGTGCCACCCCTGCTCATGTTGCGCCACATTTTGCCTGCCCCCCATGCGCGGCGCGGACACACTGCCCGCCTGTCTTCCGCTGCCAGCGGCATCTTTGCTGTTGACGGCGAGGAGTGGCGCTGGCAGCGCAAGCTGGCGGCGCGGATATTCTCCGTCAGCAGGTGCGCGGAGGCATGAGGCTAGACAAGAGCAGTTTATGTGAGATCTAATTGTATATGAGTTGGTATGATCGGGCGGGGCAAATGTAGGGTCAGCTAGATAGGCAGGCACCCAGGCCGCGCAGTGCTTCGTGCAGTCGGCGGAGAGCTTTCTGCACCCATTACACACATTGCGTGCTGGCACCAGGTATTTGCGCGTGCCGCTCAGCACCATGCTGGCGCCCCGTGTTACCTCCCTTACAACTCTCTGAATGACCTTATTCTCTATATACTTCACGCACCCCTCAACCGCACCCCACCCCTCATCTCTCGGCCCCCATCAACC